GCTTTCTCCAGGCCCGCTGGTGGTGCAACTGGGGGCTGTGGAGTGGCAGTTTACCAGAAAATGACCCAGACCAACTTCTCAGTGGACGAGGGGTCGGATGTTGTGTTACCATTTGGCAGTGGGCTGCTCCGTGGTGGACCATCCTCCTCCTCTTCCTCTCTCCGCTCTGACTACAGCTCCTGCTCTGAGCATAGCCAGCAGAGTCGTCCCTCTACACTCTCCCGGACAGAGACCGGCAGCGAACGCCCTCCCCTCTCCTCCTCCTCCTCCTCTGCCAAGGAAGACAGCGGCTACATGCCCATGATGTGTGGCGTGGCTGCCTCACCACGGGATACTCCCCCTGACTATATGCCTATGCAACCCAGCCCTTACTCCAGTCACTTCTCCCACTCTCCTCAGTTTCACAGTCCATCTATAAGTGCCAGTGCAGCCCACCACCAACCCCCGCTCCAGTCCCAATCCTCCACAGACCCTCATGGCTACATGATGATGCTCCCGGGGGGCAGTGGCAGCTCCCCCTCCCCAGTGCAGGCTTCTCTCAGTCCCAGCCCTCACAGTAGCTCCAGCATAGCTGGGGCCAGTGGGAGTGACAGCATAGCAGAGAGACCAGAGAATGGGGAATATATGGACATGTCATACAGCAGCAGTGGGGGGCACAAGCTCGCCAATGAGAGCAGCAGTGGGTATTGCATACCTGGCAGACCTGAGGGCACCCCCAAGTCTTACAGCCCTTACTTCTCTCTCCCTCGCTCCTACAAGGCCCCCTCCAGAGATCTGGATGAGAAGGAGTATGGGGAGTATGTTCCTATGAGTTCGCCTGCAAAACCGATCTATCCATCAGTTGCCGCAGCTTTGATGTCAACACCAGAGAAGAGGGGTGGGGGAGGAAGTAGCACCTCCACTCCCTCTCACCCACCACCGCCTTATGGAGCTCACCACACGACTGCTGCGATGGCTGACCGACGTATTGTGAGGCCAAACCGGCTTCCTTTAGGTAGGAGGAGTTTCCATGGTCGGGCTAATGAGCCCTCCAGAGCGTCTGCAGGTACTTCAGCCTCGGTCCCCGCCACTGGCAGCTCTTCTGAAGGGCCTTCCAGTCCTGGAGAGTATATTAACATTGAGTTTGGAGATCACTATCCCCACCAACAACAGTCACCTTCTTATCCTCTCTCTGCCCAAGATGAAACGCTTTCCCTGGGATCCAGTGACCACCGTCACTCCCCTCCCCAGCCACAAACTCATCAGGACTATATGAGTGTGGAGGTAGGGGCAGACCAGCAGGACAGTGCTGGACATCTGGGTAAGAACCAGTCACCCAGGCCCAGCCTTGTTGCCCCATGGAACCCACCCAGCTATATCAGACCCCTGGCTAGCAATTCTGGGATGATGGTGCTGAAGGTCACTGGAGGTCAGCGGGGGACGACTACACAGACATGACATTAAACCTCAGCAGAGGTGACAGGATGCAAACGAGCCCCACAGCCATGCTGCAGCATCTGTGCGTGATTGAGGGACATTATGGCCACGCGCCCTCTGCCGCCTCCTCTTCCATTTCTCCTCCTCTCCCTCCCTCGAGCCCAAGTAGGATGCTAACACAACAGCTGGAGCCCAAGGTGGTTCGAGCCGATCCCCAAGGCAGGAGGAGACACAGCTCAGAGACATTCTCCTCCACTTCCTCCTCAAATTCAACTCCCTCTGGAGGAGGCCCATCATCCTCAACACCCCTTCCCACACTGTCTAACCCCACAGCCACCAACGGATCTTATCTAACAGAGGGTCATGCTTCCAGATGGGCCAGCTCAGCATCTTTTGACAGTGTGTGGATGTCTGTGGAGGGTGTAGATGATTCACCGGCTCACCATGCCCCAGCAAGAGCCATGGAAATGATCACAGCCTCTGGGACCTCAGCATCCTCCTCCTCCTCCTCGGGGGCTGGAGCCAGTAGGGTGTGCAGGAACATGTCTGTGGGCTACCAGAATGGCCTGAACTACATTGCCTTGGAGCTGAGGGAGGACGGGAGTGATACAGGAGCCATGACGTCGGGAGCTGTTAGCAGCAATGGGAGCTTGGCGGTGGCGGGGACAGTGCCTCTACCAGAGAATGGAGCCTATGCCAGTATAGACTTCACCAGATCTGATGGAGTCGCCACAACAAACAATGGTGATTTAATACAAGTGTATGTCTGCATATTTGTATGTCAGGTTGGGAAATTATGTTTACCTGCTCTCACAACCATTGTTTAAATGCTCTGTTTTACTTTTGTAATCAAATTTGGCAGGAAAATCTTTTACACAGCCACACCGGTGTAAAGAAAAACATAGTTTCTCTCTTTGTGGGTATGCATGGGAATAAGCTTACATCTGTGAGTAAAAGAAGAAGTGTTTGGGATATTTTTACCTCACTGAAATCCAAAATAACCCCAAGTGTTGTGTGCTATTATTAGTCGTATTAAGCTGGTTTGCAGCTCCTCTAGTGAATTTATTTTGGATCAAATCTCTGTAATCTTTACAAGGCTGCGTTCAGGCGCTTTGAGCAGCCAGCCACTGTCTTTGAAGGCATCTGTCCAGGGAACTGAAATCTAGTGCTGCTTGAGGAAGTGGCACCAATATGTGGTTCATCTCAAGGTCTGTGTTGCGTGCCAGCATTGCCGAAAAGAACGGAGGTTTATCTTAGGTCAAGTGCGGACTGAATCACCCAAAAAAGGCCCTGACTTCCTGTCTTTGTAGCTGGGTGTATCTCTCTGTGCATGTGCTGCTGTGTTCTTCGTGTCAGCATGTGCTGTATGCAGTGTGGGTGTTTCAGCGTTTAAACCCATTTGTCTGCTGTGCAAGTGTCACTTGAGACGCTTTTCCATATCTTTAAAAAATGTTTATACAAAACCTGCAAGAATCCAGTGCCCGCAGAAGCAGCTGATGGCAAAACACGTTAAACACCTTAAAGTGCAGTAATATGGCAGTAGTTTATTGATGCATGTGGTTTTGATTTTTTTTGTGTCAAAGTTTGTTAGAGGTCTTAATTTAAGGCAGTAGTTTGTAGTGCTGCTATTGAAGTTTCTTGTCATTCATTAAGCTGCTTATTTAGGCTGACGGATTCATAATACAGATAGACAAATAGTACACAATGAGGGAATTACTGGCTACACCTGAAATGTGTGTATATGTACAGTGTATCCAGCTCCTGGTAAAACACAGCAAATACAAACTACACACACTTCAAAAACAGTTGTGCACTCTGACTGACTGAAGAACAGCAGCAAATCCTCACATTTAAGTAGCTGTAACCAGTGTGTGTTTGGCGCTGTTGTTGTAAGGTGCTGATGTTGATGGTGCTGAGGTTAGGCCTGTACTTGCTGTTGTAGATGGTGTGAACGAGGATCAAGAGGATGTTTTGACTCCATTTTCAGTCTTTTACTTCCTCTTTGACTGTGGTCGTCTGTCTTTAACCCACTCTTACTCTTTCATACTCTCTCTTTACTGCTTTTCCTTTGCTTCCTCCCGAATCACCGCTTTTCTCTTTTCTTGTATGTGTGTGTGTGCATGAGCATGAGTCAGGATTCTCTGCGAGTGTCGTCTGACTCATTTATTGTGGTGCTGAATGGAGATGAAAGGGCGTGTGTGTGTGTGTGTGTGTGTGTGTGTGTGTGTGTGTGTGTGTGTGTGTTTGTTACAGTGTTGTATGTGTGCTCACCAGCACAGGAGATCAACTGATACTGAGTGCTCAAGTGCATGCGATTGTGTGTGTGTGTGTGTGTGTGTGTGTGTGTGTGTGTCCATGTGTGCTTATTTTCAGCTGCTGCCAGCAGGTTCATTAAGAATTTAAATGTTTGTGTGTTCCTTCATGCAGTTCAAGGTAACATTCAGAAATGTTAATCCATCACACACACACTCATGGATTTAGGGCCCGTTATCAGTATTTGCCTGTGTGTTATGTATGTGTTGGTGTGTTTACAGTCTTTGCTGTGCATCTAAGTAGGGGTGTGTGTGTGTGTGTGTGTGTGTGTGTGTGTGTGTTTGGATGTGATGAGTCATGGCAGGCTGCCTTTGATGTGGCGCTGTAATTGCGGCGGTGGCGTGTCAAGGCACACAGCGGGGCCGATAGGAAACTCAGCATCATCATCACTCAGGAATGCACTTCCTCTCAGCTGCAGCGGTGAACTGATAGAGGCACACCTGGGGAGGGAGAGACTCGCTTTCTTGTCCAGCTCTCAAGGAAATTTTACATATGCAGTGCTAGAAGTATTAAACAAAACGTGACTTTGTTTATGTTGGGTGGTTAATTAAGTAAGCTCAGCACCTAAAATCTGAAAATCCAGCTCCGGGAAGTTGTCTCGAAAGTGGGCGGAGGACAGTGGAAACAAACGCTTCATTTGCTGTTCTTTTTCAGTAGGTTCCAGACGTGGAAAATCCCTCAAATATGTTACAGACGGCACAAGCCATTGAAGTAAATTGATGTATTTTTATGAGAAAATGCTTGAATAAAAGATAAATGGTAGACATTATTTATTGTTAAGTTAAGCAAAGGATTGATTAATCAAAAAATAGCCGATAGATTAATGAAATACTTTTTCAGGCGTTTTTTTGAGATTTGGTCAGACAAAATAAGAAATTTAAAGATGTCACGTTGGGCTCTGCGGCTTTTTCACTATCTTCTGACATTTTATAGAACAAACCATTTTATGAAGGACAATCTGGTTAATTGATAATTGAAACAATAAACTTAATAAATGGTGTAAATGTAGAGCTGAGCTTCTAAGGCTGTAAAATGGTAAATATTCCTCTAGTGTTTTGATCATCGTGTTATAGCCCTAATGGGTTAGGGGCCAGAGACAGGATGGATGATGTGAGAGATGGTGTTCCACCCCCTCTTTCATTTGGTCAGGTGGATAAAAGATTGGAAAGGTTAAAGCCGGGTCAGGAGAGGAAGCTGTGGAGTGAAACGGTAGAGCGGGGAAGTTTTTAGCTGTAAGTGACAGCAGTGGGAACCTGCCCTTTTCTCCCTCTCCCTCCCCTTGTGTCCCAGCCAAGTGGATATGCGGCGGTAAAGGCTTAGGCAGAGTGTGAAGCAGAGAGAGAAGTTGGTACGAGGCTGCCCGGCCCTCTCTCATTCCCACCTTTGCAACCAGGCGCTTCTATATTTACAGGTCTATTTCCAGGATGACATGAATTTATAGGCCGGTCTGAGGAATGTGCTGCTTGTAACAAGACCCCCCTTTTTACTGAGTGTGTATGTGTTGCATTCAGAGGTAGTTCACTCTCTTAAATAGCCAGATATATTTGCCCACAGATGTTAGAATTATTCACCACTGTGCATGCACACAATTTTGGTTTTAAGCAGCCATTCTGTCTGTCACAGGAAAGTGTTTGTGGCTCTGAAAGCCCCCCTACAGGTTAAAGTTTTTGCAGTGTCCATTTTGTCTAGCAAATAAATAATGGTAAAATAACAGATGAGCCCTTTAAGTCAAAGCACTGACAATGGCAGTGAGAAGCATGGCAGTGTTGGTGTGTGTTGAGCCCCTAACCCTGGTCTTATTGGAGCCAGCAGCCATCCCACTGGTCAGTCAAGTTTTTGGAGGACTGCAAAATTGAAGGTGGTGTTTTCCAGAGTTTTACATTTCGAGTTTGAGCTGCTCTTTGCAGTAAGTTTCAGAGTGAATATCTTTTTATTATTTTTATTTTAGATTGTTAGTCAAACAAAACAAGCTATTGCAAGATGTCACCTTGGACTGACATTTTACAGACCAAACAACAAATCTATTAGTCAACAGGTTATGTGATCATGATGATAATCATTAGTTGTATCTATATGTTGATGTTTATTTCTAGCTGTTATTCTCCCCTACAGATAGGTCATCAGAACTGGAAACCTGCTTTTTAGCATTTCAGAACTACTAATAAGCGTTAGATGTACAAATTAAATAAAGTTACAGACGGTGATCGAGCTATACAAGACCAAAGAGATGCGAGTCTAGCGTCCTGCAGTGCTTACTCAGAGGGAAGCGTTTCATTACTATTAAGTAGATCTAAACACTGTCAGCTATGTGGCCTCACTGTTCTGGGTGCTTTTAGTCTAAGTGTGGATTACAGAGGTGGTCCTGCGCATTACCCGGTCTCTCTCTCTCAAACATACAGGAGCTCCCTTTTCCTCTTTGTCTTGTCTTTCATCACTTTTCTCTGGCTTCTCCTTTTTTTTTTTCCTCTCTGTCTCGTGGCCTCTCTCAGACACAGGGTAACGATAAAGCAGGGTTTTACTAGAGTGCACCGCGACTTACTGGAATGTGGTGTTAGATAACTTTATCAGACTGTGTGTACAAAGGTGTATTTAGGAGCAACTCTGTGTACGTCAGACTAACACACATTAACAGCCTGCTTGGAAATTTTCTACGTGAGATGTTTTAATCAGATCGCAGAGTGGAGGAATTACAGAAGTCATGAAATTCAGTTATTTTCTCTGCAGTAAGATTGTTGTCGACACAAATGAACACCTACAATTAATGTCTGAATTCCACTGGACGCGCATTGTGGCGGTCAGCGTATTGTGGGGGTCGTAGTTCAGTTTACTTTAAATTTGGCAGAAAAAAAAATCTGGCAAATGTTTCACTTGCACTTTTGATACAAAAGCTGTTGAGTGCAGTTTGTCATGTAGGACAACCACGATAACAGGTTTGAAAGTGATCTCTAGTGTACTTAGTACAGCTGGAACTGTCTGAATATGCCTGAACACTCATTTTTGTCCCTGATTAATCCAGTGGTTAGTTTTTCGGTTATTCATTTTGTCTATAAAATGCCAGGAAACTGTGAAAATGAACACAGATCACAGCCAGATATGACAAGGACAAATTTCAAATTCTCACATCTGTCAAGTCAGACAGATGTGACCAAATGTATGACATTTTTGCATAAGTGACACTTGCTCATTAAAATAGTTTAATGCCACCGAAATAAACTCATTTCATACCAGCGGACAAATCTAATCATATAATTGTTGCAGTGCTAGTTCATCTGTTCACAAAAAATCAGCGTATCCCCAGGTGGTCTGTTTTTTAGTGAGCGTTTGCAAAATAAAGCACCATGGGAGACTAAAAATGTCAAATTTCAGATTTTTGGTTGAAGATCAAAATGAATCTCCCATCCGTCTACTGCCTCAAGAAACTTAAATCCACAACTCCAAAATCTAGAGCTTAAATTCTAAAGTTTGCTACTGCTGATCCCGACATATGAGGGGGAAATCGAGCAGTTCTGGGCATCAGTCAGACCCCTGCCCTCTTCAGTTCCTCGATCTGCACCGGACAGGCCGTCGCCCCAGCTGTCACCCTAGTCTGTGTCGGGTCAAAACACGTTGTGCTTGCTGTTCACTCCCATGATACCTTTCATCTGTTATCCCAGCTGGGCGAACAGGGTTTAGGGATAGAGAGACCAACCAGCGGCAGGTTGGGGAGAGCAGGGGGAACCAGAGAGAGGGTCACGGCTATGAACACCTGCCTGTGTTGCAGCAGCACAACAAGCTGTTAGCCAATGCAGGTGTTTAGTGAACAGTGTTTTTGTAACCCGGGTTTTGTGCCGAGCATGCCTGTGTTTGTGTTTAACCGAGGTCAGTCCGGGTCAGTCAGGCCCATGTTGTTTTGATCAAAGTCTGGATGGCAGAGAAATCCAGAGACCTCAGACTGCACTCTCTCTTTTTCTCACACACATAAATTCAAGTTTGCTTTGTTGTCATGACCATAATTAAGCACAGGATTGCCAAAACGTGTTATTTACAATGTTAAGTATAGTCATTTAGAATGTAAGAAAATTATATAGACAGCTGGATTGCACATGCTGCATTGTATCCAGTATACAGCGTATGCTATTCAGCTCCACTGTGGGATTTTATAGTGTGTTATACAGCGGATGGATTTACACAGTATTCGGACACCACTACCACATGGCCAACGCACTGTATAGCGTGCAGGGCTTAATATGAAACGAAAGCAGCATGAAGCGATCACTTGGATGAGCTGGTGGATGACTCCTTGCTATATGCTAGACAACACTACACAACCCTGTCACTTCAGGTTGAAACAGCTAAATCAGTTCACTGAATATTAATTGCAAACTATTTCAAGAATTGCTTAATCAGTTTTAATCAGTTCATGACAATGTGTTCCAGCATCAGATTTGTGAGAATTAACTTTATCTTATTTGAAAATGAATGAAATACTTAGGGTTTTACACTGTGTGTGTGACCGATAGTAGCTGTTTGTGGGTGTTTTTAAAAGGTTATGACAGTTTACACCGTTTTTCAGATGCTTAATCAATTAAATGAGAAAATAATCTGCAGATTAATGGATATGTAGCCCTACATCATTATACTATATAGTGTATTATATTTGTATATTTGCATTTTGAACTGTTATTCATACAAAATTACATTATCTTGGGCTCTGAGGAATTGTAACAAGTTTTAATTTTCCTTTTTCCCCATTGATGAAACAACTGAATAGTCGGGAAAATCAACAGAAGTTTGTTTGAGTCTTAGCAGGAAGTGTTGCTTGGTCTCTGTCTCTTGTTGTTGAAAGAAACGAGTGTGTTTTCTGTGGGTTTCCGAGTTTGTCTACTCTGTGTCCGCCGGTGTCAACGTCCAGGCTGTGGCCTCTCAGTTTGTGTTTAGCTGATGTCTGTCTGAGCTTCTGCTCATTCAGTGACCCAATGATCTGCCACTTTGTTACTGTCTGAGTGCTAAACGGCAGTGAAGTTTACTCGGAGTGTTTTTAGGAGATGTCCAGTGGTTGAAGTGTTTTTCTTTTTCCAGATTGTGTTTAGGCTAGTCCCTGTCACATTACTCGTCTTCTCTGTCTGCTCCTGTCTTTCTGTCGGTCCGTCCGTTCATCCCTGTGGCTAGCAAACAGAAGAGCAGCGTTCCAGCAGAGCATCTGTACTGTGGCACGCTGCTCGCATTGTTGTCAGACAAAGCCTCGCTCTCAGTGGAATAACCCAGCTGGACGGCCGCCATCCCCAGGGTCATTCGGGGCTGCCGACCTGACAGCCCAAGCTTGGCCATAATAGCAGGGCAGGAAACACACTATGTATATGTGTGTGTGTGTGTGTGTGTGTGCTGGAAACAAACTGAATCCAGAGTTCACTGGCCGTGCGCCCTTATTTGCCAGACATTTTTTTTCTTTTTTTTATCTTTATAGTCTGAGGGCTTACATCTGTGCTGATTCTTTGAAAAGCTTTCACAGGGTGAACATAACTCAGTAACTGTAACTTGGCCAAAATACTTTATTGTGACTGTAAGCATTCGATGCTGCCAGGGATCCTGTGGCTTGATCATTTTACCTGCTTTGATATTATTGCTGTGTTAAATAACTTCTAAGAAAAAGGATTTTGTTTGTGCCATAGTAGCTGCACAATGTCCAGAAACAGCTAATATTGTCAGTTCAAACTGTCAGTGAACCAGCCACATTCCACTTTCTTTGTGGTGGTGTGTGTGTGTGTGGCAGGCTAATGTTTAGCATTTTTTTACTTAATAAATTACTGTTATGATAATTCAACCATCTCAAAAGTTGCTAATTAGTTTTCTGGTATTTGAGCTTTCTTTTATTTAGTCAGGCTCTGTTACTTGCAAACTTAAATATTCTGTCACAACAAGTCACAACAAGTTATTCTTGTATCAGGGGGATTATTGCCAACAAATTTAAGGCGGTGTTTTCAGGAAAACCGGCCTTTGCACCCTTGTTTGTGGACTTGGGCATAGGGGGAAAAGTGAAGAGCTGAGGTGTGTTATCCTTCGGCAAAAGCAGGTAGAATGATCAAGCCACAGGATCCCTGGCAGCATTCACTAAGTGTTGCTGCTGAAGAACAGTTTTTGTATAAAACTTTTAATGTTTTCTGTTTTTTCTTTCTCATTATCACATAGCATCTGTGTCAAACATTATACCTTGACTTGATCTTTGTTTTTGTTTTTGTGTTTGTAGCTAACGTTTGTGTTCACCAGCACTGAAGAATTCTGAGGATGGGTTACTTACTTTCTCTTCTGCTCTGACCACCTTTCTCAGACTGAGCACCAGGATGACAGAGGTTCCTCACCATCCTCCTCCTCCTCCTCCTCACTGCTTTCCTCTGGGCACTTGACTCTGCCTGCGACCTTTGGCCTTCTCTATCGGTGACCTCTGACCTTCCTCCAGACTGAGATGCCGCTCCCTTCTGGATGCAGAAAACAACAACAATAACATCACAATAGATGACAAAAATGCTTGCAGTTATTTTTTTAGGTGTATTTCTTCTTTTAATTTTCTTGTGTTTTATATGCATAGTGTGTCCTATTTTTGTTTTTTAATCATTCCCCCCCCCCCCCCCCCCCCCCCCCCCCCCCTCTCGCGCCTAGCAGGCTGCCTTTTTTTCCAACACACAGTCAGTGAACTTTGACTGAGGGGGTGTCAGCAGCACCATAGATCACCTCTATTATCAGATGGTTCTGCTTCTTCATGCTGTATTTAAAAAAAAAAAAAAGGGAGGCTGGAATTTTAAGCAGAGGCATTATGGTACAGACTTGGAAACCTTTACTTTGCATTGAGCTTAAATATGTTTGATTATTGTTTTTTGTTTAGTTTTTTTTACCCCATGCATAATTCATCCTCAGTACGGTACCATACAGTTATTATATTGTGGACATTATGGTACAAAATGTATATTTTTCTTTTGAATGGATTTCTTTTTTTTTTTTTTTTTTTGCTAATGACATGATACAAGCTCCTGGCTGGATCCATTTTAGCTTCAGAGTTGAGAAGTGGCAGTGCACAAGTACCGTGCTTTTTCCCATACTTTTCTGCATCAGGTACGGCAAAGTACCCGCACCCTCTGGATTGCCATTTTGCATGGCGTTCACACCTCAGCGATCCAAAAGCACCTGCTGCATCAGTGGGACAAGTGGGAAAGAGAGCTATGGTACTGCATCTGTATGGGTTTATCACAGTGTACTGATGCAACACGAAAGCTAAAGCATTACTCTAGTCGTATTCAGTAGCACATATTTATTTGTTGCAATAGGTACATATATTCTAGTAACATTTCTTTGTTTGCTCTCATGACACAGATGGTACTCGGCAGGGCAGGGTAATAACGCCGGCCACCAGTCAAATGCTGGAAAGCTTCTTCTGTCTTAATTATGTCTCCTTTACTGTCACTTTGCAACTAAATCAACCTTTAAAGGAATAGTTCAACATTTTAGGAAATATATTTGTTTGCTTTTTTTGGGCAAATTTGGTGGGATGATTAATACCACTCTGGTTTTTGTGCAGCAACTATGAATCTATTGCCACTAGCTGGTTTGCTTAGGGTTCTTTAATCCGTACAAAAAACACATTTTAAAAATGGCAGTGTTATGTGCAGGACTGTTACCTTAAGTCTTGGCGTGAACTATGCCTCTGTAAAACAAATTTAACATTTACAGTGTTGTATAGCAACAAATGCGATATGATGTGGTAACTGATGCGCTTTAAAGGTGCTGGTAGACAGATGCTTTCACCTTCGGACTGGACCAGACTAGCTTTATCACTCTTTATGCAAAGCTAAGTTAACCAGCGGCTGGTTTTATCTACTTATCGACAGATATGAGAGTGGTATTGATCATTTCATGTAAATTAGTGAATAAGTGTTTTTCCCAAAATGTCAAACTATTTTCTGAAACAAAACAAAAAAATCTGAAGTAATGAAAGTGGTTTGTAGAGGTTTGGAAAGTCCGCTCTGTGGCCGGCGAATGGAAGAAGTTGTTCTCCTGCCCTGCTGCCCCTGCTCGGCTCATCCTATTCAGGTTTCTGCACAAGGAACAGTTTAGTAAACTGAAGCAGAGGTTTGTTTTGCTTTACATTTTCAGTTTTACCTCATACGGTCCGTAGCACAGTTCAGGTTAGTGAGGGAGAATGGAATTGACACAAACACAGACATATGCACATAGACAACGCTGTGAAAAGTAAAAGCACAAAATACAGACACCAACACTGGGATGCAAACACAAGTGTAATGCACACACATTACGTCTCTGCAAGTGAATTATATACGGTACTTTGGAAGACGTGGCATGTATGCACACACCCATACATCATGAAAACACATGCCACTGTCATCTGACGTCTGCCATGCCTGCTCTCATAATGCATACGCGCGCACAGTCGTCGAGCAGGCCTATTTAGGTAAGGCCAAGTCCTCTGTGCCCCCGTTTTGGCTCTTTGTTAGCGGCTCTTGATGACGTCCAGGATTTTTCACACACATACACATATGCATGCTGGAGTGTTCATCATTGGCTCCGGGTGACGTAAAGAGGTTTCCAGTAACCCGAGCTCCAGCCCATGTGCAGCGCGCTGGACATACTTGCCCTGTTGCAACCTCGCTCACACACATTTGGACAGGCAGCGAACACCCACATTAATCAGAGTCTTAGCCCGATCTTGCTGCCTCTTCTCTCTCACACTTTAACAGACTGATAACGCCCATATTTAGCATTTCTACTTGTGCTGCTTTCCCATGACTATTACCCATGTGACTGTTTTCATAGACAAATGTGCTTTAACACAAAGACTGACAGCTAACGTGGCCCCCAGCATTTCATTGTTTTGTTCAGTATTCACTCATCTAATGCTATCTTTGCCTTGTTTCTGATTTTTCTTTCTTCTTTAAGC